TGTGAGCCTGCAGAGGCCTCCAGATTGCCACTTGACTCATGGATTTGAAACTTGACAGCCCCCACAACTATGTGAGCCATTTCCTTGAAGTAAATACCACTATGAATATAATTGTTGTTGAATTGGTTCTGATTCATAGCCACCCTGTATAGGATTTCTGAGGTGAGTTTGAACTGCCGACCTTGTGGTTCAAACTGACCTTGCAGTCCAGTGCCGTACCTTATGGCCCCACACCAGGATTCCATGATTTACTAAGATTAAATGTGCCATGAACCACTTTGGCCATCTAAATATGGACACCCTTCTCAGATTAATATTTTTAAATGGGTAAAATAATCCATATTAAATTATAAGGGAAATTAGTGATAATAAAATACCATTACCAAAGAATAAACAAATTTGTGATTCCATAATAAACGTTTCCTTATTAACTACATTAAACAAGACTGCTTGGTAGATGAAATAAGGACTGTCATTTCGAGGGGGTCATTGTTGGGTGCCATTGAGTTGATGCCAACTCACCGTGACCCCATGTGACATAACTGTCTTAAACGGTTTTTCTAAGTTGTGGTCTTATGGGAGTAGAATGCCAGGTTTCTCCTGCAGAGCCTCTGGGTGTATCTGAACCACCAACCAGGGCTTTGAACCAGTTTAGTCACAGTCGATGAAGCAAAATCAGAATTTGCAAAATGTGGGTGTCTGGAATAAATGGCATGGAAAAAATAACTAGTTGAAGTTCTTGAATGGGAGACTCAGAAGAGGCATGAAGAGCCCGATGGTAAAGACTGGGTTCTTGCCAGGGCTGTGGAGAATGACATCATTCCTAGTGTTGCTGTTGGCCACCATCTTTAAGCAGGGCACCGTTGTTCCCAACTCTGATAATCACAAGATTTGGTTGCAACGTGCACTGTGCCCTTGTTTTCTAAGAGGGAGATTAAGGTTTTAGCAGGGCATTAGTGCATCAATTTCCCTGTTCTGGTTATTGCTTTAGACACCCCCATTTTTCAAATTCCAGTCTATTAAAATTTCAGTTCGTTGGCCATGATTGAATTGGAAAGGACTGGTTTGAAGCCTTCCACCAACCTTCTCACTAGTAGGCAAGCACTTAACTGTTGTACCACCAGGGCTCCTTTGGAGGGAGAGAGGAATGTGGATGGTATTTTGAGAGGTCCGCAACAGCTATTAGTTTTATTGCTGATGAAATCACAAGCATTGCTAACAGCACAGTCATTTGCTGCCTTTCTACATGCATAAGAAGGGTGTGCTAACTAAGTTTCAGCTTGCTGTTGTTGGAGGACATCGAGTCATTTCCAACTCACAGTAACCCCATGTGTTGGAGTAGAACTGCCCTGTAGGCTTTTCTAGGCTGTCATCTTTATGGGAGCAAATCACTAGGACTTTTCTCCCACAAAGCTGTTGGGTGGATTCGAACTACCAACCTTTCAACTACTAACCTTTCAGTTAGCTGCTGACAACTACATCATTGCACCACCAGGGCTCCTTAGTTTCAGCTGAGGTGAATAAGATAAAGGTAAATTTTTCTCTCATTTAAGTTCATGGGCTGTTGGATTGGTAGTGAATGGAAATCTATGGACCCTAGTGTAAAAATACCCAGTCCAAAGAAATCTTAATGTGGCTCAGCCAGTGAAGAGTATCTACTGAAGCCACCACAAGAGGTGTTCCTAGGCGTACCTGCCCGGTTGATCTTAGACGGCAGCATGGGTGCACTGAGCACTTCATCTTCATCTTGCTCATCGATGACCTTGCACTGGCGCAGGTAGGGGGTGAGCTTGGCAGGGTTGATGTAGCGACTCAGCATGTGCCGGTTACACTCGACGTTCTCCCACAAGGCATCCTCCTCATCCTTGAGTGTCTCCATGTAGTCATCCATCTCTGGCCCTCGTCCTTCTAGACACAAACCAACAAGATTATTAGCAAAGCAGCGTCACACCAAGAGCTCCACTGATTCCTTGGCAGCAATCTTGAAAAGATATTGTACAATGAAAGCAAGTAAAGTGGTATGTGTCAGCCTGGCTGGGCTGGGCTGTGAGTCTCAGTACCTTGGCAGGTACAATGTAATATGATGGAATAATTTTCCATGATGT